AAAAATAATTATATTTTAAACCCATCTGTATTGTATATCACTCTTACACGGACGCACTAGTTAATTATGGCACTTAAAGTTGTTATACCATCGAAATTAAAATTCAATTTATGAACAATAAAATATTTTTTATTTGCATACGATGTTGTTTTTATTATTCTTCCTTATATGTGTGACACGGTGACCGACCCCTTTACTAGAGGAGAATGTTGTTACGAAGCAAACAACATTAAAGAATATTTTTTATATAAGCCATGGGAGATATCTTGTATAGATAATAATAATATTTTAATGAAACATCTCGAGTAGGTACTTATATTTGTTTAATATTACTACAAGCCTACCGCTTAACACGGAGTCAGTTCATGACGTAGATGTGCGGTGCAGGGGACGCGACAACGCGACGTGAGAGCTCGGTCAGGCGTCCGCTTTGCTAGCCACTTGCTGGGCGTTGCGTGACGTCTCTTTGAGTGAAATGCACACGGCATTTAGACTACTCTAACAAAATGAAGCCATGACTTAATGGTTTGACCTACAGCCTCTCACACAGAGACCCGTACCCAACAATGGGACGTATAAATGGGTTAATGATGATGAACAAAATGAAGTGGACGATGTGGATTGTATGAGAATAGAGTGAAAAAGGCGGCAAAATGATCATGACACACGCGGTCTGTCACACGGGAAAAACGAATAGCAAGATATATTATTATTCGCTTTGACAATTTGTGCCCGAATTCGCAGCGAAAAAATAATCTTATTGTAGTAGAATGAATGTGATCAAAATTCCGAAAGGAACAACTCGCGGCCTCTAGTGGCATGCGTGACAACCAGAAAGTTAACATGTACGCTCGGAGTAGAGGCAGTTTTTCGTCGATGCGGTCCGTCCATGCTGCACCGTAGCGTTGCTCTAACCGTCTTAACCACAGGTCCAGTACCGAGTCGACGAAATTTCCTTTGTACGGACTGTCAGCATTCGTCGCCGCTAGTGACGTCTAGTGAGCGATTTTTGAATAACAAACCAAACGGAGTCATTTCACAAAAAAATTGATCGTCAGTTATTGTTAATTTAATATTCATAATGATTTTTATTTAAGTAAGATGTAATCTGGCTTTGGGAAGAACTTGTATTACGAGTATATTATCAGAAACATATTGTTGGCACTATCTCATGTGCAGCGCGACTTGCTGATAGGCTAATTACACATTACAACAGAAGTTGCAAGGTCATACCGCAGCAACAGGGATTCAACTGCAACCCATATGAAAGTGTGTATACAAATGCAAGGGCGCGTCGCAGCGGCGACGGTACCGCTGTTGTTGCGGCGCCGTGTGTTATTAGCCTTACGTAAATTGTCATCTCTGACACCGCGCAGGTACCGGGACCGTCTAAGTTAAATATCGGGAAAACAAATAAAACACAGGTTTGAACCCGAAATGTGTAATATTAGGTAACAAAAGTGACACTGCTACAATTCTCAAGCTACCCAATTTTGGCTATTTTGTCAAACGACAAGGTAATAAAGTACCCACACTCTAGCCATACATCACAATAATATTTTCAAAAACCACTCGGGAACTGGCGTTGAAGCCAACGTCGGCCATTTTCAAATTAAAAATATCGCGTCGCTTTAATAACAATAACAAAAATTATTTTCATTAGTAAAGACCTAAATTTTAAATAATATTATTTATTTTATCAAAATATTAATATTCAAACACCATAAGTAGTAAACCATTTGTGATAACATACCAGTGATCGCAATTGCGGCAGTGAATTTATCTAACCATAGACTAGCGTAAAGAATAATGTGGACATTTCCTTCTACAAATCCGGGAACTTCTCGGGACTGATTATTATTTATTAAAATTTGAGTACACTGGCGACAAATCATTATTTCCTATTAAGTATTGAGCTATAAATTATTGTCCCAAAAATAATATTGCACTTGTGATTCTATAGGTACTAACGTATTTAAATACTTTGGCCATTTAAAATAAATGTGAGGACCATTTAAAAGAAACGAAATGGAGGTCCATTTCGGAATAATAAAACACTCGAAGCGATTTTTTGTTTTATCATTAAATGGGTGTACCATACTAAGAAAACGTTCAAACTTTAGGTGAATTCACTCTCTCAATTCCGATCATTGAACATAATAAATATCCATTTATAAGGAATAAAACAAAACAATATATTGCACGGAACACATATAAGCAAGAAAAGGAAATGCAGAGGGACAAAGGTGTCAAGGCTTTCTTTATCGGACTTCCTTAATCAGTTAAACAAAAGACACGAACACACTATCAGTCCGCGTCTGTCAGCCGGCCAGATAGACAAAAAGTCGGCGTCAAAAAAAATCAACAACAGCAACTTGCGGCGCCGAAATATCGCCTTAGTGTAATAAAACCACATCTGCAAAATCACAATTTTTTCAGGAGAGAGTGCTGCAAATGACAACTTTTCGTCCAGGGAGATACTGCCACCTTACTCATTCCTACAACCAAGCAGTAATGTAAGCATTACTGGCCCATGGGAAGCGTGTCGCTTAGCACCAGGTGCACGACTTCACCCCGTCACTTAGTAATATAAAAAAGAGAGGTCCAAAGATTATTTTTGAAGATGAAGTAAAATGACATTTGCAGGGTTGCCAGTTTTCGTAAAATTTTAAATAGTCATGTGGTTGTTGTCGACATTTTTATCGATAAATTGTGAAAATAGGAAAAAAATTGCCAAAAATGTCTAAAAGACAGACGCTTGACCACAATCTCACCTGATGACGATGTGACCGACGATGGGGCGTGTTTGCCTAAAAAATGCCTATTCACTGTAGCCTTGAACAGCCCCAAAATGCACTTTTCGGGAGATACATATGCAAATACGGTAGAGCATTCCATTCCTTTGCCTTACGCATCAGAAAGGTGGAAGCAAAGCGCTTAGTGCGAATAGGTGGAATATAAACTTTATAAGAATGAAGTGCTCCGGACCTTCTAGTCGGCCGAAGGAGGAACGGTAAGGGTGGAACTAAATTGAAAAGTTCCTAGAATTATGAATGTTACGAAGTTATAGTGATTACTAATTGTGTTATTGTATTCTTTACTCTTAATTTGACAGTTGGTCTATTAGTACCGAAATCAATTTTTAGTTATACACACTTATACATAATATTCATATTAAAGTCAAATGAAAAACTTTAAAATATATCTCCTATTTGTATTTTTTCTACACATACTGTGAAATTAAGTGTATGTATGAATTTTCAAAAATTAACAATTCAAATGACCTTTGTGTACAGCATTTGACGAATAATTAGCCGTTGATGATTCAAATGAAACGAGTTCGACTATTTATTTCATAAGCGTAACCAACATTCAGTCGATAGTCGATGTAATATTTATCGACTGCAATGACTAACTGCTTGCAAGCAGACAACACTACGCAGTGTGTTGTGCGAACGGCTATGGACTGGAATTCCCTGCCTGCAGACTTATTCCCTGAACGTTATAACTTGGACCTTTTCAAAGCGAGAATGAATAGGCATTATTTAGGTGGGCATGCACCATCGTCGACCTCACCGTCACTTTCCATCAGGTGAGATAGAGGTAAAATGCGCACTTATATTTTATAAAAAAAAACGTCATTTTACTCCCTCTTCAAAAAAGACGTTATGGACAAAAAAAATTGTCGTTCTTTTTTGCATGCTTAATTAATAGTAATTTTATAACCATATACAGAAAAAATTGTTTTATGTATGTATTCCATGTGATAAAACTCTTTTTACCTATGGTCACATGCGACTTTATTAAACCAAGGGTAAAATATGTAATAAACGTCACTCGCCAAAACAGAGTTAGGAAATAATGAGACACGAATACAACATTTACAGTTATTAAGGTCACCAGACATGGGGTCTATATGGGTTGGTCTCTACTTGGCCGCACCAGGCTGAGTCTTGCGGTTCCTGTGAGCGCACGAATTAAAATATCCTTTTGGCCATAAAGTCACTTTCTATGTAAATCATGAAGTGGCCAAGATGGCCAAACGGTTACTTCTTAGGCTCAATTTAACGGAACAGTATGAAATCGAATTGTACTTCTTTTTTTATTTATTGCATAATTAACTTTATCACCGTACAAATCAGGGGGTAGCTCTCATTCTTCATCCGTCCGAAACATTATCAATTGTCAAGTATGAAGCTTCATTCGTTGCTGAAGGAATTCTCGAGATTGCACAAGAATTCTCCGGAAGTTTCGGTACCTTTTCTTTGGGTCGTATCTATTTATGTCTTTTTTTTTTAGAATTAGAAAAAACGTAAACAAAGAAGCAGTGGTCGTAAACCTTTTTTTCCGACGACTAACGGTTTAAGAAAACGTTGTCAGAATTGATGATAAATGACGTTTACAAATGACACGATAAAATCCTTTTTTTTTTAAGTTTCCGGTCAATTTTTTGAAGCTTTTTATGGTGCAAGTCTTTGAAATAGATTAAGAGTGTAAAGATATTTTAATTAAATTTTCAATAGGCAAGTATCACGACCAAAAAGCCTATAAAAACTTATAGTATACTCCTATAAAGTAGTAAACATATTTGAGAATTTTGTTTCACGGTATTTATTAAAATCCTTTGCTTACGAAATGACTAATCGCGATACAAGGCAGCGTAGTCAGTTTTAGTACACCTATTAGTACGCCAGATTACGCTACGAGTACCAAATTACCACTTTTTTAACCAATTTGTTGACAAGCCGCAATTTATCAAAGTTACTCTAATTCTAGTGATAACAAACATATCAACTAGATGGCGCTTATTGCACGGATTTCTATGGATAGTGTCGGCTATTCTTTTATTTTGTTTAAGATTAGCGCCATCTACTCATATAAGGAAACGTTAATTAATAAATTAGTTTGTAACGCAATGCCATCTATTGACACACATATTTGTCAAAGTTCAGAAAATAATTTCAGCTCAGGATCGATATTTTAATAATATTACAAGGAAAGGAAACTTCTTATTTTATATTAAAGAGGAATTAATTAATATCCACGCCCATTTACATAATATAAACCACTACCAGGCTATTGAATAGAATAGAATATAATAGACATTTATTGCAACCAGTGGCGGATTCGGTCAGTACCAGCATCCGTTAAGTAGTTTTTGAGTTTATCGCGATCAGACAGACAGACGTAGTGATTATACATTACATTATAGATATTTAACATATCTATATTTTATACATAAAATGTACGAAAGTGATTTAGGAAGATTACTGTCATACGATGCGGTGCAGTGCGGCCCGCCAGAATGAACCTGCATACGTGAGCCTTTAGAATATTTAGGTACGCTCCCAAAATCTGGCCGCCCTAGCCCCGGGCCTACTGGACAAATCCTTAGGGCAAATCCGCCACTGATTGCAACGCCACAACACATAGATACAAAAAAAATTATAACACAGACAAGCAAAACAAAATAAAAAGAATTAATAAACAAAATAAAAAATAAAATAAAAACAACATAAAATAAGACAAAACTGACGTTGTAGCGTACGCAAAAGGACTTCATTCTGGATAAGCCACAGCCATAATTGATTGTGGCGCCGGGTTTCAATGAGCCTTTTATAAGGGCCTCCGTGGTCGCGTGACACACCGGTTTTCATGGTGTCGCCATCTCTGAGGTCCCGGATTCGATCCCCGGCCGGGTCAGCGTAGAAACTAATTTCTCTATATTGTCTCTGGTCCTGGGTGTTTGTGGTACCGTCGTTGCTTCCGATTTCCATAACACAGGTGCCTTAGCTACTTACTTTGGGATCAGAGCAACGTATGTAATGTTATCTAATATTAAATATATATATAAGACGGAATGTTGACCTTTTTCGAAGTTACGATCTGTTGAACGGAGATTGACAGTCCTCTGGAATTATTGATCCATGGTTCTGAGTAATGCTAAAGAAGGAGTATAATTTGTACGTTACACAATTCACGAAAAGTGCCATGGTTTCAAAGAAAAATTGAGCCTTATTCGTGCGGACGACCAATCCCAAAGCCCCATTTACATTCTATAAATTTCAATATGATTATCTATTCTCCTAATTGTACTCACAATTTTTATTAATTTACCGTTCCATTAACATTTTTTTTAAGGAATTATTCATACAAATTCTTATACTCTGTTGGCGTCAGCCCCTGCACTACCTTAGTGCTAATAACACAAGGTATAAGTCTATTAACTCTATTCCAACTGTGTCGCTCCGTTGTTCCCCGTTTGGACGGAGCGTTCACCGTTCTCCGCATGAACATTGCGGAGTGGTGGCGGTCATACGTGCGTGCCATCCGGAGCACCCACGTGACTGTAGTCTGTTAGTGGTATAATCACAACTTGTATCTGAAACAAAAATCAATTTAATATCAAAGGTAATACGGAAGGTGTAAAAATAGAGCCTTTGACCAGGCTAAATGAAATAAATAAGTGGGATCAACACTATGCTGCCGTCTACTAAATAAGGCGCTCCGCAGATGGAGCAACTTTAGTTGACGCAACTGGCAACTTTTTACAAGTTTCCATTAACGGTTTACATTAGGCCTTAGTTTGAATAACGAAATTGTTCTCGTAATGTACTTATTCTCTTTTCGCTATATTATCACTTCGGATGATTAGATATTTTTGCAAAATAGGGTAGATGGTGAAAAGCGCCAACTACATTCAGAAAGACTAATTAATTATGATACTCGGAAATGGATGGTCCTCGTGACATCGGGTCGGACCATTGCGAGTAGTTTAGTAGCAGTAGAGTTCCTTGTGAAAGAGATCGTCCAGGGAAGTACTGCCCTTAGTATCCTTAACTATTTCTGCCGCAAAACAGTAACGCTTAACATTACTGTGTTCCGGTTTTGAAGGGTGCTGGTGATTTGGCACATGGGGCTTGTCAACTTATGTCTCTGGGTGACGGGCGCAGTGGCAGTGCCCCTCGGATCTTTGCGATTTAAAGCTCTGAGTGGCACTGCAATTGTTATGGACAGGCGTATAACTTGCCATGAGGCGCACGACTTGTTCATCCCATCACTTGATATTATAAAACAGTTATGACACTAAAAAAAAGGAGATTTTTTAAATAAAATTTGCATTTTATTTTTTTTACTTTTGAGTTTTCTCTACCTTTTCGCAAGCTTAGCTCGCTACGCATCGAAAAGTAATATACAAAGGTGAATGGAGAAGAATGTAGGATCGTTACTCGGCTAAAACAACAATGTTAGACGATATTACATAGATACTATTACCGTTATAGATGCGAGGTGGGAATTACTCTCAAAGACCGGAAAACAAATATGTGTCTCAGAAAGGAAAGCAGTGTCGCAGATATCACCAAACGCGTAACGAATCTTAAATCGGGCGGGACACGTTCCTCGAAAGCACGGCTCCTGATGTAAAGCGGTTCTCGAATGGCGACCTCGGGGCGAAAAACGCTCTAGAGAGACACCGCAGATGCGTTGCAAGGATGACAAAGAAAGTGGCGGGGTTGAATCTGATACAGGTGGCACAGAACCGAGAATGACAGAAACTGAAGACGGCCTACACCGACATAGTTGAAAACGGCTAGAAAGATGATGTGAGTATTATACTAGTAATTTGTGTAACTTACCCGAAGTTGGTCTCGATTAGGTCCTAATAAATGACGAGGCTCTGGAGCATCGCAGCTGTCTGTGCACTTCGGACATCGTCTGCGAATGACATTTTAAATAAATAAATAAATAAATAAATAACGCACACATTCAACATAGCCCCGCACTAGGGAAACCCTGTGTCGCGGGTGCCATGGACACACACATAGACAACCACAAATTACACCCAAACTCACGAGAGAAATAAATGTAAGCCACACAAACATTTCTCCCGGCCCGGGAATCGAACCTGGGACCTCTGCGTGGCAGTCCGGCATGGTAACCGTTCGACCACGGAGGCAGTTAATATTAATTTGTAATTTTTGTGGATCAATTAGTAGCAGTAGAGCTCCTTGTGAAAGAGTTCGTCGTGGGAAGTACTGCCACATTATCTATTTCTGCTGCCAAGCAGTAATGTCAGCATTACTGTGTTCCGGTTTTGAAGGGTAAGCGTGCTGGTGAAATTACAGGCACGTGGGACTTGTCAACTTATGTCTCAGGGTGACGGGCGCAGTGGCAGTGCCCCTCAGATCTTTGCAAATTAAAGCTCTGAGTGGCACTGCAATTGCTATATTACCGCCAGACCCACGACTTGTTCATTCCGTCAGCTGATATCATAAGCTTACCCTTCAAAACCGGAACACAGCAAATGCTTACAGTAATGCTAGGGGACAGAAACAGGTAAGGTGGCAGTACTTCCCTGGACGAACTCTATCCAAGGAGCTCTAGTGCTACTATAGATTCATAATACCATCGAGTATATAACCGGAAATAGAGACAAGATGTCATTTCATTTATTTGAAAACTATTCTGCAAAATCATTACTGCGACAACTGCGCTCCGATTGGCCAGCCCGAATGCGAAACAATTGACAGGTGTCGTCAATGGGCGTCGTCAATTGTTTCACTTCAAATCGACCAGTTAACTTAAGCTTTGCTATAATGGACGAAAATTGCAAAATTACATATTTAATATTTAATTACCGATGAAATTTGATTCCGTTTGTTTTGTAATTAGATGTTTTGCTGTTTTTTCCACATCACTGAATGGAACAGCACGCCATTGTTAGAAATATTATCTTTGTTACAATTAATACAGAATTTTTTGGAATATACGGAGACGTACGCACAGGTCAGTTGTTGGCGCTACCTATATTTCAGTGTAAACGAGAGTTGATATTCATAAGTGATGTATCACTGATGACTTACCAGAAATGTATGGCCTTTATTTCGTCTCTATTTCTGGTTATATACTCGACGCATAATACGAACCCGTTGTTCTTGGCTGGTGCAGCAGCCGCTGCTGGCGACGGAGATCGAGCGCGCAGCTGGCCGGAACTGGTGCACGACGACGACGCCGGAGTGTACAACGGCGTGTTCAGCTCGTCGAAGTCCAAAGCGCCGTCGATGTTCAGTACTCTGTGAAAGAGTTCAATTTCAGTTGTCGTTTAAAAATTGTAATAATTATACATTCACTTAGGGTCGTATTCCAGAACTGTACTCAATGCTCAAGTCAGGATTTGAGCAGACTTGAGTATGATTTCAAGAACTGGAAATATGACCCTAAATGGCAAGGTTTTGAGTATGATTTCTAGAGCTTTGATTCATACTCAAGTCCTGACTTGAGCATTGAGTAGAGTTCTAGCATACGACCCTTCGACTCGATACTACCTCTGCTCGAATTCAAAGTTGCCATGTACTAACACGGTTCATTTTGCTTGGGTCGAGCGGTCGGGACACTTTGGCTTTGTTTCAGAATTTTTTTTTTTTAAACAATCCTAAAGCCATTTGAAAAATGTACATCGTATACTATAAGTGTTAAATTTAGTTCAATTGATATAAAAAAAACATTAGTGTATGTAAAGTACCTATTGGATACGGCAGTTTTCTTGTAAAATTTCGAAGTAAAAGTAAGTTTTTATTTTTTTACTTTGTAACATTTTTAAGAATCATATTTTCACGCCAAATTATACTAATAAGTGTACATTCTCAATTTTACTATGTATTTTGTCCAAAATGATTGACTCGACACTTTCGACTGTCATGCGGAATAATAATAATAATAACGCACACACTCAACATAGCCCCGCACTAGGGAAACCCTGTGTCGCGGGTGCCATGGACACACACATAGACAACCACAAATTACACCCAAACTCACGAGAGAAATAAATGTAGGCCATACAAATATTTCTCCCGGCACGGGAATCGAACCCGGGGACCTCTGCGTGGCAGTTCGGTATGGTAACCGTTCGGCCACGGAGGCAGTTATCTAGGTATATAGTTATATAGGTATAGGAATCAATCAATGTCAACAAATGAGAAACTTAAAAAATATTAATATTAATATCAGTAAGCAATAAACATAAATATTACATCACAATACAGGGATCCTCTTCACGTAATTGTAGATTTTTCCATTCGATACGAAAAACAGCAGCGAGATTAAGATGAATCAACTACTACTGACTCTACAACTCCAAGACTGCGCCAATTATATAGGGTGGCCGCAGTGGAGATTAAGTAAAGACAGAAAATATGATGAATAAACTATAGTAAATTTCGACAAAGGTATTTCTTAAACATAAACTAAATAATTTTGAGAACGTCCGAAGTTAGGTACGTTAGGAAATGAAACTATTTTTCCGGATTTAAATCGCGTATATTTGTTTTTTCAAACAAACCGACGTTTCGGACCTTTTACAGGTCCCAGGGTCACGGTTGACTGAGGTGGTACAGTCTTCAACCAGTTATGTCTAATATTGGGTACGTTATGTCTAAAAGTGTCTTGATAATTATAATTAAAATGATGAGTTTTGCATCGGTCACGTTGCAATGCACGGGGCGCGCGTTCCGGGGTGCGCGAATGCAAGTTCATTGACCTGACGTTTTAGGTATGTGTATTATGTGCATAACTGGATACATAACAAGCGCCAAATGCATAAAGTAGGAAGTTTTGCTTCAACCATCATAACGACCCCTCAGACTTAAAGTATCGTACGTCGAAATTGCCAAGTTTACAGGGAAGCGTTTTAAAGTTCTCCGTTTTATTCGGCAAAGCTCGTTACTCAAATAGAGTGATCATCTAATACATCCTCTAACCGATATCTAGGATTTTATAATACTCTATGTGAGCAAGCTTTGTCGAATAAAACTGAGAAATGCTAAAGTCACGTGTTGTGCTTATTTCAGTGAATTCAGAATATTTAAAACGCTCCTCTGTAAACCTGGCAATTTCGACATACGATACTTTACGTCGGAGAGGTCGATAACATACTGGACAAGAGTATTGCGCGTTCGCGCACGCGGTGTCTATGATTTGGTCTGTGGTGTCTATACAGATCGGCAATGACTAGATGTGTCAGGACTCAAACCTGTGTTTGTTTTGCCAATCTAGGGCGCACTTATACTTAAAAGAAATTAACCCTTTCGATCGCCATCTAATAATCTTAGTACAAAGTACTAAACAAACGACCTCAAAAGTTTGTGGAATTACATTTATTAGCCAAGTTTTATTGAATTCGGTTACCGGCAAGTGCCGAAACCGGATTTTCCCCTAGTTTGCCACCCTTAGAGGTGGAATATTTTCTTCAAATTAAATGGGACCAATACTGAGGCTTTTTTTGAGAACCTCCACCTTATTTTTTTGAAGTCGGTTAAAAATTCAGAATTTTTTTTATCACATTTATCGTGACCACTGATAGTCGTGCAGTTTAAAGTACCGTAACTTTAAACTGCACGTCACATATTTAAATGAAATTGATTACATATCGTACAACACGATTAACTGTCGTTCACCACTTATCGACGTTACGACGACAGACTGTCAAGACGACAACAAGAAGAGCTAGAACGACAGTCGTCTAACGATAAATAAAACGTCACGATAAAAATGTGACGATAAACAATCGCATCTAATTTAATTTAATTTAATTTATTTATTTGCATATACACGTTACATTCAAAATGTTACATGCACCCAGTAAGGGTATAACAAATATGGTAATTCTTATGATCTACATATAACTTTATTAATACAATTTCAATACAATTTCAATACAATTAATTCAATACAATAAATTTAAATACAAGTAAATAGTTACATAACGATAGCAATATCATTTATGGGAGTCATCTTCAAAATATTCATTAATTGAGTAATAGCATTTTTGGTTTAGTAATAGTTTAATTTTATTATAAAATGTGGAGTTTCTTTCTATTGTTTCTTTCTATCTACTATTGTCGTCGCGTTTTATTTATCGTTGTCTCCACGTGTTCCGCTCCCTACTCTCCCCTCTCGTCCCCCGTGCCCTCGTGTCGCTTCGTAAGGGGTACTTATTAGTTGTCCGAAATTACATTTTCCAGAAACATTTTTTTTGTTTTTTTTTCTCAGAAAAATTTCCACAAAAACTTTCATTTCGTACATTTTCCAGAAAAATTTGCCCGGATTTTCATAACCTCGAAAGTAATTTTGAGAGGAAAATGTTTTAAAACTATCTTAACCTAACCGAACTTAATCGTGTCTTTGCGATAAACATACAACATATCCTGAAAGAACAACGGTTTTATTATAATTCGTGTAATGAAAATTTTAACAAACGTTATTTCGAAAAACAAATCGAATTTGTGATAAGTTACCGCTTCGTAGTAATAGTCAGACTCATGCGCAAGGTGGACATTTAAAATGGCGATGGCTAATATATCACCGGAAGTTTTCATCAATGCATCAAACGATTCTGTCTCGCAAACGACGTCATGAAACAAGGTGGCTGCCGTGAACCGATAAATTGTCGTCACGGTCCAAGTGGGAACAGCTAGAGACGACAATCGTTCAACGATAAAAAATGCACGACACAGTCACGACAAACAGTCGACGTGTGGGAACAGGCTAGAAGCGACAGTCGTCTAAAGATAAATAAAACGTTCCGACATAATAAATACATAAATATTAGACAATATCACATACGTTGCCCCGAGTCCTTTAGCAACTTAGTTTGGCTAAATAGCTAAAGGACTTGTGTTATGGAAATCGGAAACAACGACGGTATCACAAACATCCAGACCCGAGACAATGTAGAAAACTTAGTATTGTATACTGACCCGGCCGGAGATCGAACCCGGGACCTCAGAGATGGCGACACCATGACAATCGATGTGCAAGCCACTCGACAACTTAGGAGTCGCATAGATTCCCAGATGAGGTAAGCAACTTTTTAAAATTCTTTGAACGCTGTGTTACTTACTTTTAAAGATAAAATAATATTTCTATGAAGCAAAATACCCTATTTACAATATTGAAATTACTTGCCCTCCGTGTCTCACAGACGTGACGCCCTGTATAGACTACAGACCCGTACGTAGTGGGATATAAAAATTAGTTCATGATATCGTTGTTGTTGAAAAATGGGGTGTAGGTAAACTCACCGATTCTGTGAGGAAAACCGATGCACTCTTTCAACGACTGATGATACATGTTCCACACCCTTTTGCACACCCCACACCAGAATACCAATCTGTAACGAAATAAACTTTAAATATTTGTTAATCTACGTTCCACTACCATATAATTAATTATAATTACATAAAGCAGTTATTTAAAGTAAGTAGCAGTAGAGGTCATTGTGAAAGTTAGTCCAGGAAAGTACTGCCACCATAACTGTTTCGGCCAGCAAGTGTGGGTGATGGTGAAACTACAAGAAGGGCTCCGACACTTGCTCGAGGTTACGCGATAAGTGCCTACCGCTGAGTGTACCGCCGACAGTGCAAGCGCTCAAACAAGTCTTTCATATACATTACAATCCTTATACAACCTCAGCATTCGGTTCCGCACGACTGCACACAGCGGGTAACGTCATTTTCACCTCTCGGAGCGGGTGCTTAGGTTTCTTTTTCCTCGTAGTAGTATTATAGCGTAGGTCTTTTCGATTTTGTATGTGAGTGATGTATCTGTTACTATTAAGTAATCTGTACCACAGGCACATGAGACTTTATAATTATTGATCCAAAGATCGAACAAAGAAAAACTCCTTCCATTTGAGTGGACTAGAACCAGCGTCTGTAGCGACACCGGCGCTTCCGCTCTTACCAACTGAGCTAGGGACTCGGTCTGTAGCCAAATATTGTCTTGCATATCTTTGAAATATCTACAACATAACAGCGAAATTCCAGCCTACGTCTAGTCCCCATATTAGTTTAGTAGTAAATTGTTAAACAACATTTGAAAATCTACTTCAGCTACTTTCACATTTTGACAACATACATTTTGCTTTGTGGTAATGCCGCCGATATTAATAGAATCTTTGTCCGGCAAAAACGTGCGGTTAAAGCAATTTACAATCTGTGTCCCCGAATGTCTTTGACAGATAAGTTTAAAGAGACTAACATTCTTACACTAGCGTCACAGTACATTTATGAAAATGAATTTATGTTAAGAAGAATAGTAATTTTTTTATGAAAAATAGTAACCGACGTAACATTAATACGAGAAACAAAACAAACTGGCTGTTGTTGACAATCGTCTTCACAAAATCACACATTCAATTATGGGACAATGTACACGCTTCTATAATAAGATTCCAGTTGATAATATTCAAATTTTGCCATCATTGACTTACAATTATATGGACGTCGGGTCCGCGCTAAAAAGTGTCCGAACTTATGGGGCGTTAAAATCGTATACAGAGCGTCATTCACGCTTTAGTCTTCGTTTGTTCGACTGACAGCGATGCAAGCAAAATTAGACAGTACTGCGATGACATTACAATTTAAATTCAACGTTTTAGCTTTTTCGTATTCCTTGACATGTCACTACGTTTAAATAGGTTGACTTGGGACATTTTTTTCGTGGTTTTTGTATTAGACCCGTCGTCCATTTATTTGTAAGTCAATGTTTGCCATTCACGAAATTTAAAACTATAGTGAAACAAAAACTTTATACCAAAGGTTTAAATTTAAATTATACAGCTTCAACGACTTGGACTTGGACGACAAAAATCTGTGGTTGACCCGTTTAGTTATAGCAGGTTTCGATGTATATGATATTTGAAATAAATATTGTAAATGGTAAATGTGTGCGAATGTTTATATACAAAGACCTACCCCTAAAGTTTCTTGCTCATTCTTCTCAGGGGAATCGGCCTTACGAATGAACAACAGAGTTTAATCTATATGACGATGTCAAGTGGCAGTAGAGCTCCTTGTGAAAGAGTTCGTCCAGGGAAGTACAGCCACCTTACCTTTTTCTACCACCAAGCAATAATGTTAGCATTACCGTGTTCCGGTATTGAAGGGTAAGGGTGGTGGTGATTTACAGGCACATGAGACTTGTCAACTTGTTGATGTTGTTGTTATGTCTCAGGGCGACGGGTGCAATGGCAGTGCCCCTCAGATCTTTGCGATTTAAAGCTCTGTGTGGCAGTGCAACTGTTACGGACAGGCGTGTAACTTACCGTCAGGCGCACGACTTGTTCATCCCGTCAATTGATATTATAAAAATAAAAGAAAAAAAACGATTGCAAGTGTAATAGCTTACGTATGAAATAAAGATTATTTGACTTCGTCTGACCTTAACTCTGACGTCAGGTTCTGGCTGTTCGCACTCGCCGTACTGGTTGACGGTGGACTCCGGGCAGTTCTGGCAGGTGATCGATATCCGCACAGTGCGTAATACTACTTCTGGTACCTGGACAGAAAAGAATGCATCTAATATGCAGTATGGTATGGTGTAACGGGCTGATGTTTGCAACTCAACGCCTATACTTTGATCGTAAGATATGGCCTGTATTCTCGTTCTCCGTCCATCATCTGAATGCGTCGAGTATATAACCAGAAATAGAGACGAAGTGTCATTTAATTTGATTGAAAACTATTCTGCCGAATCATTACGGTGACGGTGCCACAAACACCTCTGGGTGTCCCGAGACAATATAGAAAAGTTAGTTTCTACACTGACCCGGCCGGGGATCGAACCCGGGACCTGAGATGTCGACACCATGAAAACCGGTGTGTAAGCCACTCGACCACGGAGACCGTCAAACTTAAGAGGTAAGGAACTTTATAAGCTTTTATATTATTGTGTTATTTTTGTTACAGCCTTTCCCTTTTATCTTCCGTTCAATTTCTACTTCTAATAAATTGACGCAGTGCATTTCCGTGTGTGCAGGCAGCGCCTTGCTGTACGTAGTAGTAGTAGGTAAATAAGTTTCTAATGTTGTATGGAGTGTCCGGTGTGTGATTTTACTTACATCATAAGTACCAGCCCAAACAATAAGTAAACTTTTTCTAAACCAAACTCCTTTTGGGTACAAATCAATAGTCCATTCCGAGTGCCTGTCTTGCGACGCTGAGTCCGCCAAAGAGCTGCGAGTCGAGAAAATGAACGTCCTCGTGTGGTAACACGGTAGCGAGTGGAAGTTGTCCACGGCCAGTACCGAACCCCACGTGTCTTCCGTGTACAGTCGCGGTGTGAACAGCATTCGTCCTGCTTCCGTCTTTTGGATTTCAGCTACGCGTTCGAATTGACCTGCGAACGAGATTTAACACTTTGTTGACGCTTTTAGTAAAATTGCCGGCACACTACTGTTGCGTAATTTTCCGAAAATTTTCCGGAAAAAATACCGAAAAATTGTAAAAGAAAAATGTCGAAGGCTCATATTATGTTCTACGTATAGTAATATCTTTTGAAGTTTTATTTAGCGTGAATTACAATAGTAGTTTATGTGACGAGTGTTTTAACGCCTAATTATTGTACAATTACATAACACTGCTTTATCTACACACATATTATAAGCTCTCTGTGATGTGTTTCGGGAACCGCATGTTACGACTGGCGAAATGGCGGCAAATAAAAACTTTTCTCACGCATGTCACACAATCGTAGTTTTTATTTTTAATTCATAGACAAACTAGAATCTGCCCCAACTATCATATCGTTCGATATCAAGTAACGTGCGAAATTGTCAAAATTGTTTGTTATTGACATTTCATTTCGAATAAAACTTCATCTCGACTGATATTAGATTCGAGGTCCAATCAAATTGTTTTGTTTTTCAGAGATGTTCGAAATTGGAATGTAACAATAACGTCAAAGATGTTATTATGAAGCAATCATAACATTTTCACAGATAAGAAATTTGTTCCAACAAAACAGTTTACCGTTATGCTGGTCGTAATTTGCGGTTTTTGAACACATTATAGAGAGTTTATGATATATGTGTAGATTAAATACATTTGTATATATAAAAACCACATAAAGAAAAATGAGATTAAGGGTCGTATTCCAGAACTCTACTCAATGCTCAAGTCAGGACTTGAGTATGATTTCAAGCACTGGCAATACGACCCTAATGGCAACGACTTGAGTATGATTTCTAGTGCTTTAAATCATACTCAAGTCCTGACTTGAGCATTGAGTAGAGTTCTGGAATACGACTCTTAGCATGATTTCACAACAGCGAAAAAAACCGTTTTAGTGGCTCCATAGTTTCCGTTCAGTAACTTCAACTTTTGAAAGGTGTCAACGTCAAATATGGAAAACAGGATTTTTTCTGAAAAACATGATTTTTTCAATGACCCAACTCTAGAAACATGGGACTTGACAACTTATGTCTCAGGGTGACGGCTTGACGGCTCTCCGTGGCACTGCAACTGGTACGAACAGGCGTGTCGCTTAATTAAAAATAATATAATTACCGATAAGTCCAACACGTTAACTAATTTTACTTGTTTTAAAAGGGAATTTTCTGAATGCTGTCTTTTGCTATTTAAAACGAATACATGACCATTTGTCACTTAGCCGCGTTTTGGTTAGTGGGCGGCGGATATGCTGACTCTATCTGTAGTCAGTAAGTAAGAGCGGTGGCCCCGGTGTAGCAACAGACGCTGGTTGTCCGATCAAAGGAATTCTTCTTGGTGTTCTTGGTGTTACAAAGATTAGCTTCCATTCCGCAACGTAAATTGAGCCTAACTACAGTCTGTCTTGTTTGAAGACGGAGTAAAATAACATTTGCAGGATTGCGAGTTTTCTGTAGCCATGTAGATATTGTCGACAGTTTTATCGATATATTGTGAAAGAAAGTAAAATTTAGCCAAATTGCCGGAATTGTGAGTGTTACGACGTCCTAATGATTACCAATTGCACAAGTGCCTTCTTCAGTCTTATTTTGACAGTTGGCCTACTAGTATCAAAATCGACTTTTATTCATATACATTTTAACAAGAACAGGCGAATTCGATTATCTACATTGAATTAAATTACTTTAAAATATGTTTCTTATTTGCATTTTTAATTGACATAGTTCGTATGAACTTATAAATATTGACACTTAAAATGAACCTGTGTTCAGCAGTTGGACGAATAATGGGCCGAGGATGATTCAAATGACACAAGTTCTACTATTTATTACATAAGCGCGACCATTATTCAGTCGATAGTTGATAGAATATTTATCCACTGCAATCACTAGTTGCTTGCACGAGGGCAACACTTTTGGGCAATGAACTGTCATTTTACTCCATCTTTAAAAATACAGACTGTACTACCTTTAGTACATTCCGTTTAATTTTTAAAATAATAATAATAATAATAACGCTCACACTCAACATAGCCCCGCACTAGGGAGACCCTGTGTCGCGGGTGCTATGGACACACACATAGACAACCACAAATTACACCCAAACTCACGAGAGAAATAAATGTAGGCCATACAAAAATTTCTCCCTGCCCGGGAATCGAACCTGGGACCTCTGCGTGGCAGTCCGGCATGGTAACCGTTCGGCCACGGAGGCAGTTATAATTAAATATTAAGTATAATATTAAGTAATTAAGTAATTTTTAAAATATTAAAAGTAAGAAGTACCTGATTGATAGCTCATAGCAATCGCCATTCGTTCCATGAAGAAATCTTTGTGTTCCTGTGTCAACGGGCAAAGCAATAGTTTCGCGAGCTGGTTTGGACACATCATCGGAAACCTGGAAAGAAAAGGAAGTATACTAAATTACTCCACTAGTTTGTTATAATTATTAATACAAAGAGCGAACACTCAGAAAAAATTCCTTCGATCCGGCCGGATTCGAACCGACCTCTTCTAGCGTACCGTGCCAGACGTGAGGTTTTAATAACAATAATATATATACTCTTGTTTACAACAGACAAGACAATACCTACCTGACATGTGAAAAGACAGCAGCGACAAGCGATTCCCAATGCGTTTTCTTCTCGGCTTCGTTAAGATCACTTGTGTCTAATCTCTCGCGTTGTTTGTTCAGCCACCGTACCACAAAGCTGCAAATATAAATAAAGTCACAGTCAAAAAATATTACGACACCTCCTACGTAAAGTATCGTAAGTCGAAATTACCAAGTTTACAGGGGAGCCTTTTAAAGTTCTCCGTTTATTATTTCGAACATTATTAGCCGTTTTTTAAATTTTATTATTGTCGTAGTTTTTATAATTACATACTATAGCAATTGTCTTTTTCATAATGTTGATTTTTACCTCTTAGTTCCACTGTATTTACCTAATGAAAATTCGCATTTAGAAAAAGTATGAAAAATCTATTGATAGAAAACCAGCGTATGCTCTGATGTTCCTAACTCTTGTCTTCTAACTTATTTATATTTATGTATATTTACTTGTAGTTTTTTATGTATACATGTATCACACGTGTATTGTAAATGTGTAGTGTGGCATAAAGCACAGGATACACAGAGCATGTTCCTTAGGTCTCAGCCGACGCTGAAACAGGAACGACTGAAAATCAGCGTCTGTCTCGCCCGAGATAAATACAGAGACATATTGCTGAGTCGTATCCTTTTCTTCTTTTGCGCCACTATACACACTTGCTAATTTAAAATCACGCAGCCATTTGTTGTTTTAGTGTTAAGTATTAGATTTAAGTGCGTATAGTGACTCAATTTAATGAATAAACGTTTTTCTTTCTTTCTTTCTTTCTTTAATGATTGCCAGTGAGTGGAGGAACAATTAATCCCAAAATGCAAGCTTTTGCTTAGTTTGGGATTCGGGAGTTTAAACATTTTATATAATTAGCACCTACTTAGAATCAGTGAAATAAGTTTTTTTTTATGTAACATACCCATTGTTTTTAATTTTGCTGTATGTGTATATGAATGAAATAAATATTATTATTATTATTATTAACTTTTAAAAATCTAAACAAATTTTGTAATATGAGTTTTCAATAAAAAGTACTTTTCAAACTTAGAAAAATTATAACAATTTATAAATTTTAAATAGTTATGTAGTTGTTGTCGATAGTTTTATATATAGATTGTGATAGAAGATAACATTTTGCCAAAAATGATTGCATTGTCAATGTTGGAACGTTCTAATGATTACTATGTTATTACCTTCTTTATTTTTATTTTGACAGTTGGCCTACTAGTATCGAGATAAATTTTTAATCATATACATTTTAATTAACAAGAAATATTGAATTAAAATGAAAAATTTTAAAATATCGTAGCTTTACTTTCTCAAACTCGTATCTTAGAGTACAAAGTTACTGAAATGCAAAAAACGGATTGTGTATACAATTTTGCATGCGGATTTCACATCATATTTCCTTCATAATCAAATACTGGTTTTAACTTATTCTAAAAGTAAAGCATCCAAATTAACACTCTTGATAAAAAATTTAAAATAAATAGAAAGTTTTGCAATCTCCTGAAACAGTGTAAGGCATCGATATGTCTCCTCTTTGTATTTTTCATGAACATAGTTCTAAATACAGTGTATTGTATGTATGAACTCACAAAAATTAACATTATAAATGAACTTATGCTTAATAATTGGATGAATAATAAATAGGTCGTGGATGATTCAAATGAAACAAGTTCGGCTATTTATTCCAAAAGCGTTACCAACATTCAGTCGATTGTCGATAGAATATTTATCGACTGCAATCATTGGCTGCTCGCAAGCGGGCAACACTTTTACGCTTTGAACTGTCATTTTACTCCATTTTTAAAAAAAAGGCATACTATAAGTAAGACCGTATCTGTCTGCAAAGTGGATTAATAAAAAACACTATATACTGACTGGTATAGCGTCATCTCGTTGTGAAGCACCACGTCAGACTGCTGCAACAGCTGCACCAGAGTCTCCCCTTCCAGTTCCGCCAGCTCTGCGTCCACGCCCTCCCCACTTCCGCCCTCCGCCCATACCCACTCCAGATTCCACTTAACAAAGTTCTGACACGCCTGTATCAAAATTTTGTATTTTTATATTATACGTAGTAAATATACAAAAGCAAATTGTATTGTGCGTCGTGAACCTGGCGGTAAACACGTCTGTCCATAACAGGTTCAGTGCACTCTGAGCTTTATGTCGCAAAGATCTGAGGATCTCTATAGTACCAGTATGGCTTTTTGTCAAAGAGTTCGTCCAGGGAAATACTGCCACCTTACCTATTTCTGCCGCCAAGCAGTAATGTTAGCATTACTGCTTACCGGTTTAAAAAGGTAAAGGTGCTGTTGAAATTAGAGGCACATGGGACTTGTAAACTTATGTCTCAGGGTGACGGGCGCAGTGGCAGTGCCCCTCAGTTCTTTGCAATTAAAAGCTCTGAGTGGCACTGCAACCGTTACGAACAGGCAGCTTATTATCAGGCGCACGACTTGTTCGTCCCGTCACTTGATAATATAAAACAAAAAAAAATTAAAAAATCATTTATTAGCAGCCTTTATGAAACTTTCCATTCGACTGCAGACTGCTATCTTAGACTGTTACCTAAGAGTACCGTTATCAGGGCGCGCTGCATTTGTTCCACTCTTTCATGAATTATAAAAAAAACCGACAGGGAGAAAACAGTGGAAAAGCTACAGAGATTTGATAAAATAATAGGAAGGAATAGAGACTGTATCTAGGGAGTCTAGGAGAAAGCGAAGTATAGAGGGCGCTGCGAAAGTGTTCGCTGCACGGAAGAAAAAAAACAATGGAAGCGCCATAAGCCTCGATTACTATGAGAATCGATGTCGCCAAAACTCACACATACTTAATTTGAAACACCACAAAATCTTGATATTGACTGGCCGCAGTTTGAAATTTAAAAAGAAATAAATTTTGGATTTTAATTTTTTTTATTCAATTGATATTCAATTATTTTTTGTGTGAAATTACTACACTAGTTTGTTATAATACTTTTTTTGTCATAATACAAAGTTCGAACACTCAGAAAAAAATCCTTCACTTCATTCGAGCCGATGCGACGTCTTCTAACATACCGTGGCAGACGCTATACCAACTAAGCCACGGAACGAACCAGTGGACCTCACGAATTTTGCTATGTACTTGTTGTCATGTATTTGGTTTTTCGGCGAGTTTTTAGCCGTAGCGCCATCTATGAGAAATCTAAGTATTTCGTCACCCAGTTAAATACCTTTACAACTATCAGCACTGGATTGTTATTATAATTTCACCCTATAATTATACAATATTATAACTTTACCCTGATGGCACATAGTTGAAAGTTCAATATCAGAGGGTAGTGCGCTACCGAATCGAATAGACGCGTTAACGTTGAGCGGATAAAATAAATTCATTTTTAAATAGTTATTGAGTGTTAAAGATTTAGTTCCCCGGTTAAATGGGGACTAAATGTAATGCTTGTGATGCCGCGATATATGATATATCGTTTATGAAGTGTGGTAATGACAAGTGCAAGAAATTGTATCACCTGAACTGTCTGGCAATAACACCGGAAGTATTTGAAACCTTTACAGAAGAATCAAAGAACAAATGGGTATGTCCTGAATGTGTGTGCACTAACCCAAAAAGGAATGACAATAATACACCAGTGAGAGGCAGCGTAATGAACAAAACATTTACGCCTAATAACTTTGTCAACAATGTACGCGGTAGTCGTCACAAAACGACGGAGTCGCCTAAGACGAACGACAACGATATGAGTACATTGTTACAAGAAATGCAGTTATTTCGGGCCGAAATCATGGATCGTCTAGATAATCAAACTAGAGCGTATGAGCAACTACAGGATCGATTCCAGAATACAGAACATGAATTAACTGAATTAAAAAAGTGCATGAGGGTAGAACACGAATCGGAGGAAATAAAATTGTTGAAACACCAGGTACAAGTTCTTAAATTAAAGAATGTAGAACTGGAAGAGTCGTTACGTGACATGAAAAAGAAGAACGTTAAGTGGGCTGATAACACACCACAAATATCATACGCGAAAGTACTGTCACAAAATCAAAAGGAGGTAGTTATTTCTGCGCATCAAGGTGGGGCCACAAAACCAGTGGTTCGGCCAGTGGAGGAAGTTCGGAATACACGGGATGTAACCAGTGAAGGAAGAGTACATTATAAGAACCCATCTTCAAATACAAATGATACCAATGAAAATAAAGACAAAGAAAAAGGTAATGGAAATGATTGGACTGAAGTTAAGATGAAGAAAAATAGATACGTAAGAAATGAAGTACACAAAGGTGGAAGTACGGGCATGGAAATTCAGGGTATAGAAAAAAATAAATTTCTACATGTTTGGCGTTTAAAAAAAGATACCACCATTCAAAATTTAGAAAGTCACGTAAAAAAGGTGTGTGGGAAAGATATTACAGTTAAAATTGAAAAATTGAATCCCAAAACCGAAAGAGATTATTCTTCATTTATGATAGGAGTACCAGAGAGCGAGTATCAAAAATTGTGCAATCCGGAAGAGTGGCCACTAAATGTCGAATTCAGTGAGTGGCAGTGGTTTCGAAAACCGTACGACAAACCGAAGTAATATTAGAAAACCAATTGAAATTTTTTATCAGAACGTAAGAGGTCTTAGGACAAAATTAGAAGAGTTTTGTACGAGTCTGTCGTCTTCAAGTGCGGACTTATTCGCAGTTACTGAAACCGGTTGTTATGAATCTATAATGGACGCAGAATTAGCACCGGTGGGGTACCAGATCTTACGTTGCGATCGAGCGGACGGACGAAAACAAGGCGGCGCGTGTTTCGTGGCCACACCGCGTTTTGAACTGCGAAATGTGCCAATACCGGTTGACGTCACTTTGAATGAACGAAAGTTTGAACTCGCGTGTGCTGCAATATACCTGCGCGAGCGTTTTTTGTTTTTATCATGTATTGTTTACATTCCGCCGCGAAGTGAAGACGAGGAATATATGATACTTTTTAGAATAATAGAACAGTTGTGTACTAAGTATAATAATATCATAGTAATGGGTGATTTTAACTTGTATTCGTGTAATGTTAATATTCGGAACTATTTTGAATGTTTTTTAACATATTGTGAATTCACGCAGTGTAACAATGTAGCCAATTGTAACAATCGTCAGTTGGATTTGGTTTTATGTTCGGTTGGTGAAAGATTAAGTGTTGAAGTGAGGGCAGCCTCCGAGTCGCTGGTGCCGCTGGTGGACGGGTACCATCCCCCACTTGAAATATCAGTGCTAGTGTCGGGTCGTGATGCTGGCGCTCCGCGTACCCATGTCGAGCCGGTTTCTCGTCCCACAAAGCCACAGTGGAACTTTAATAAAGGTAACTACCCATTATTATATTCGTCGATTAGCGATATAGACTGGGGGCAATTATATAATCTAAGTAATGTGGAATCTATTTTGAATTTTTTTTATAATAGTCTTAGAGAAATTTTTGATAACTGTGTTCCGTTAAAAAACATTCAAATTGGTCGGCAAACACGGTATGTTTACCCGCAGTGGTACAATTCTATCTTGATTAGTGAAATAAAATATAAAGCTATGCTTCACAAGCGATATAAAGCTAGTAAGCTACAGACAGATTACGAGACGTTCGCTCAGTGCAGGGCAAGAGTAAAAGTTATGATTAAACATGCCTATGAGCAGTACAGGGACAGGGTGCAAACCCACTTAACAGAGGACCCCAGATCCTTTTGGAACTATGTAAAATCTAAAAAACTGAATCATGACGGTTCAAGAAAAATATTGAAAGATGGGATGGTTTTAACGGGGGAACAAAGTGTTAATGAGTTTGCAAAATATTATCATTCGGTGTACGGTGCGGACCGAGCACAACTAAATGTTGCCGCTGCTGTAGCTCAGGCGGGGGGTTCGAATGTGTCGGCGCGAGTGCATGTGCAACAGCTGACATCGAGTGACGTTCTGAGGGCGCTCGCTAAACTTAAGCCGAAGAGATCAGCTGGTCCTGACGGCATCCCGGCATTTGTATTTAGGGACTGCAGGTTTGTGCTGGCAGAGCCACTTGCACACATTTATAACATGTGTTTAAAATCAACACTTTTTCCGGAAATTTGGAAAATAACTCGGGTGATTCCAGTTCCGAAGGGGGGCTCTGGAGATAGAGTAGACGGATATCGTCCAGTAGCAGTTTTATCGACTCCTGCCAAGGTGTTCGAATCGGCCTTGCAGTACTGTATTTTACAACAGGTTAGTTCACAATTATCTGAGGCGCAACATGGATTTCGGCCAGGTATGAGCACCACCAGCAATCTCATGAACTATATGACCGAACTCATACCAGCAATTGACAGTGGAGGCCAAGTAGATGCCGCATATTTTGATTTCCGAAAAGCGTTTGATGTCGTAGACAATGATATCTTGCTTAGGAAGTTAGCTGGCATTGGATTTACGCCTCATCTATTGCATTTTTTTGCGAGTTACATGAATGACAGACAGCAGTACGTTGAGTATGGTGGGCACCAGTCCGAACCTTATTTTGTGAGGTCAGGGGTAAGCCAGGGCAGTAATCTGGGTCCTCTCCAGTTTGTAATAATGGTTAATGACCTGCCGAGGGTCATTCGAAATTCAAAATGCTTATTATTTGCAGATGACCTAAAAATTTTTCTTCCGATCGGTAGTGCAGCGGACTGTGCATTATTACAAAACGATATTAATAACGTAGTTTCATGGAGTGAGCAAAATAAATTACAGTTTAATACGTCGAAATGCGTTACGATTTCGTATACTCGTAAACATATTCCCGTTAGTTACGATTATAAAATAAACTCTGCAACATTACAGCGGGTAAATTAAGTTAAAGACTTAGGGGTTCGGTTTACGTCTGAGTTAAAGTTCCAGGGCCACATAATTACTATTTGTAAAAAAGCGTTTAGAAATTTGGGGTTCGTTCTTCGTATGGTTCATAATTTTACAAATACACAAACAATAAAAGCTTTGTACAATGCTTTAGTTCGAAGCCAACTTGAATGTAATGCACTCATCTGGGCTCC